ACGATCACGCCTTCTCCTTCCCGCGATCATCCGAAGTACCTGAAACATAATCAACAACTGTAAGCCCGAAGCTTAGTGAGTTCCCCAAAATACCAACGCCATACAAATATAACCATATCATATAAACAAACACAACATGCATAATGAGCCATCAACCTGACTGGACCGCCTCGCAGGGCCATCAGTCTATCTGGATCGCTCTCTGAGCCGTCGACACGTCTGGACCGCCTCTCAGGGCCTTCAGCCTATCCGGACCGCTCGCCAGGCCTTCGGCCTGACTAGTATGCCCTCCCAGGTCTACATTCTATCCGGTCCGCCTTGGGTATGTTAGCCTAAGCACAAAGCATGTCTGCCTCAACCCAACCCCCAATCAATAAACATGTGCACATAAATATCATATGCAAGCTAGCACGAACAGATAATCATACAGACCTAACAGATAGCAACCATCCTATAACCAGGATACCGATCTAACCGATCACTAACATAACAACCATCCTATAACCAGGATATCGATCCAACAGATCACTAACATAGCAACCATCCTATAACCAGGATACCGATCTAACAGATCACTAACATAACAACCATCCTATAACCAGGATACAAATCATAAAGGGCCGACCTTGGTGTCGTAGACCCTGTTGATATAGTGAGAAGAACTCACCTCACGATGTCGAACTGTAGTAATAAGATCGAACTCCCAAATCATAGCCACGAACTCCACCACCTATAACCACCATGGACCAAGTCCATCAAAATCCCAAATTACCAAAATACCCTCAAAAATCCAACTGGTCAACCCTTGGTCAAAGTCAAAGTCAACGGTCAAGGTCAACAGTCCATGTTGATCCAACTCGTCGAGTGCAGCTAACAACTCGTCGAGTTCCTTAAGAAGCCAGGAAGTCATGAAAACCCTAATTGACTCGCCGAGTTTCCAGACAACTCATCGAGTCCATGCTGGGTCCAAATGTCGGGAAAACCCTAACTAACTCGTCGAGTCTTCTTATTAACTCGTCGAGTTCATGTAGAACCAATACATGCAATCTTCATCCGACTCGTCGAGTCGGCCATGCGACTCGTCGAGTCCCTTCAGTCCATTTCTTATCCAGACGTTTTTAAGCTACCCCAAAGCTCCATATTGCAGATCCAACCACCTAGGGCATGGTTTCCACATAAAGTTGCAAACTTTACGTACATGCATGGTCCTAAATGCCAAAACCAAGCTAAGGGAAAGGCTTAGCCTAAAGAGAAGGGCCAATGCGTGCTAAATTTGATAGCTTTATGACTATTGGGACCAAGAGGAGTCCAGATCTGAAGTTACAACTTCAGATCATGACCAATACCCGAAATAACCCACAACCAATTAGAAAATGGCCCTAAACCTTTGCATGAAGAGATCTAGCTAAAGATAAGTCAAGGTAACGACTTGTTACCTTCAAGATGATGCCAAGATGAAGTAGAGTCAGATCCACAAGCTTCTCTTTGCTCCAAGCTCCTTAGACTTCAAGCATTCTTCACAAAATGCACCAAAAGCACTCTTTAAATCTCACAAACACTCAAGAACAAGGTTTAGACTGATTAGGGTTTCTTCTGGCCGTCAAGAGGTGGTAAGGGGCTGGAGGAAAAGAGTTAAGGTCCTTTAAATAGGGTGTAAACCCTAAAAATTAGGGTTTCCATGCACATACTCTACTCGTCGAGTCGGGGTCCTCCTACTCGTCGAGTCAGGGTCCTCTGACTCGTCGAGTAGGAATCATAAACCACGCGGGCCAACTAAGTTCGACACGACAAGTTGGGGCCTCCAACTCGTCGAGTTTCCTCAGCAAAATGAATATAAAGCTTTTGAAAATTATACCTAGGAGTCGGGGTGTTACACATTTTAATTAATTTCAATAATATAATTATTTTTTACATGCATTTACCAAAAAATTATCTGCATAGTTTTATTCAAATTAATGTGTGGACGTTCGCCTAATTGTTTTATACAAATTAGATATGACATTTGTGCTTGAATGAATGTTCTTGGTAAAAGAAATGTGCACTTGGAATATACGTTATAGTGTGTGAATTTCTTGGCCTCAATGTTGGGATGATACATTTCTTTGCAAAGTAATTGTCTACTCCCTCCGTCTCAAAATTATTGTCCACAGACAAAAAAACACACAGATTAAGAAAAAACATTAATTATCACTAACTTTATACAATAAAACGACAGTTTTGCCATTACTTTGCATTTAATGTTCCATTAAATGCTTTGTTGGTTAAGTAATAATAAGGGGGTATTTTGCTAAAAATATTATTTATTTTTAGAAGTGGACTATTAGTTTGGGACAAACCAAAAAGAAAATATGGACTATAATTTTGGGACGGATGGAGTAGTTCCTTGATGGAACACATTCCTAAACAGGAAAGAGCCAACAAACAAGTTCTTAAACAAAACACTAACCTTGGGAGCGAAGTGCCGTTTGAAGGATGATTCTCCGTTCTAAGTACATTAGTGTCCCATTGGAGAAACATAACTAACGTTGATCGGTTCCTTTCATTTCATTGTGCTTAAAATCTTGCATTGACTTGCATTTTACATGTATACACTTTGGAAATAAAGTATTAGAGTATCATTACGGTATGTTGTTTTGGATAATAGGAATTTAACTATAGGTTTTGAAATGCTTTTTGTTTTACCAATATTTTATGAAATAGTACACTTGACATATGGTTTTGATTTGCAAATAGATTTGAAAGACAATGCTTTCGAATATAATTTTTTGAAAAGACAATGTTTTAAAATGTAATTTTTTTGAATGATTATAAAAGTATGAAGGATTTAGAAGATATTTATTTTGTACGTAAAACTCATGTGCTCATAAGTCATTATTATTTCACGTATTTTTTTTTGTGACATGTATTTCAAGTGTCGTGTCAAAATAGATTGATTTATTCCTTAAATGTGATCATTTAGAAGAACATATATGACAATGAGGAGACATTAATGAAAGTTGTTTTGAACCTAGCAAACGCTATGTACTTGTATTTTTCATACAACTTTGCCCTCGAAGAACCCCACTCTAGACCATTCTGTGAACTTAAACATCATAATGACACAGATGTACATCACCAATTTTGTTTTGCATCATTCCCTATTTCGCAACTTGAAGATCATGGTGGCTTTTTGAATACGAGGAAGAGAAGATGCAATAAAGAAGAGCGAGATTTAATGAAGAAATAAAATTGATCTAAAATAACTAAACTTGCCTACACGAGCAATTTGTACACCAACATCATTGTCCTTGCGAAAAGCAGCTAAAATTATGAGTTTTCCTGTCCAGCAAATTATGGAGTTTTTAACCAAAATAGGGTTATTGAAAAAAATATTTACCAATCTAGTATAGTTTGAAAAATATTTACCAAACTAGTGTTTTTCTTCATTTTTTTTATTTTTCAATATTTCTTATTGTTTTTCTATTTATTTAAAATATCAGCTTTTTTACTTTTTTTTATTTCAGTTTTTTTACTATTTATTTTAAATATCAGTTTATTATTATTATTATTATTATTTACTATGCATTTAACATAAATATCTAACATACAAAAGAGCTTTATTATTTTGGTTCATTACATGTCTATTTGATTAATTTTTTTCTACCGTTTATATAGTGATTACGAGTTTACTTTAATTTTCTTACCATTTATTTATACATATATTTTAAAAACTTAACCCTTTTACAAATTCAAGTTTTTTCTCATGTCTTTATTTATACAACCTTTGCATGCTTTTTAATTGAGTGTCTTTACATTATAAAATATAAAAAGCTAAGAGTTTACATATTTTTTGTCTTTACATAAAAACAAATATGTAAAAACATAGAAAACAAATTTTAAAAAAAATCTAATTTGTAAAATGAAAGAAATCATAAAATACATGCATAAAACGAAATATGTAAAAAATATTTAGAAAACAAATTTCCAAATCAATAAAAACTATTATTTCAAAACACGTGAAAACAAAATTGTAAAAAAAAAAATATACGGACAAAATTTTATAACACAACTATTACTTTTGCTTTTTATATTTTATTTTCAATGTAAAGAAACTCAATTAAAAAGCATGCAAATGTTGTATAAATAAAGACATGAGAAAAAACTTCTTTTTGTAAAGGGTTAAGTTTTTAATATATATATATATATATATATATATATATATATATATATATATATATATATATATATATATAAATAAACGGTAAGAAAATTAAAGTAAACTCGTAATCACTATATAAACGGTAGAAAAAAAATTAATCAAATAGGCATATAATGAACCAAAATAATAAAGCTCTTTTGTATGTTAGATATTTATGTTAAATGTATAGTAAATAAAAGTATATAAAATTTAATAAAAAAAATTGAAACAAAAATAAAATAAAAAAATAAACTGATATTTAAAAACAATAAATAGTAAAAAAAACTGAATTAAAAAAAAGTAAAAAAGCTGATTTTTTAATAAATAGAAAAACAATAAAAAATATTGAAAAATAAAAAAAAATAAAGAAAAACACTAGTTTGATACTATACTATATTGGTAAATATTTTTTTCAATAATCCCATTTTGGTTAAAATATTTTGTTTTATTAAAAACATTATAAACGTTTGATAATTAGTGAATATACTTTTAGGAGAGTTCATATAGAGTCAAAATATTGCTTCTTTTAAGAAGTAAAAGTAAATGATTATTAGTGAAAAGAAGGTCCTGTTAAAATCATAATGTAAGAGGACAGGTTACATACGCAAAGGAAAATTTGTCTATTTTAAAATTGAACTTTATATTATAATTAAATAAATAAACAATCAACAAAAAGTAATTTATTTTTCTAATTATTAAGATCATCTAGTCATAATTTTTTATAAATATGATTTTTTTTTAGATTGTAATTTGGCGTATTGTTTTCCTTTGAATATAATAGTAGTTTTCATAGATAATATCGCTTTTGTAGAATCGTTGTCTTCTTCTATATGTGTGAACAGAAATATATTGGAACAATCTATGCCTTCGTATGCTCTCTTTCTCTCTCATCCTTTTCTCTCTTTCTCTCTCTAGACATAGCAGAGCTCTATAGCCATGGCGTTTCACGACAATATCTCTCACCAAATGGCTCTTCAACACTACGCCGACCAACAGCAGTTGACGGAGAACGTCGAGGTTCTCAGAGGAATACTACCGTCCGACCATCACCACCAACACCACCACCTCGGCCAATCCTCTTCGTCTCCGGACGCTGGCCCTAAGACGTCGCAGTCTCCGCCGCCTACATGGCTAAACAGCGCAATTCTCCGACAACACAACCACCACTACGGCGGAGACGGTAGCGGCGGCAGTTTCCTCCACTTGCAAACCACCAATTCTGACTCATCCAATTCCAACAACCACTGGCTATCTCCTCGGCCTATCGATAACGACGACAGTAATCGAGAATCGATGTTTGTTTCTGCGATTAATAGTGAGAATAATCTCGATGAAAATGCTATGAAATTGAGTCAACGGCAGAGTGAGAGCGACGGGAACGGAAACGGTAACGGAAATGGAGGTAATCATGAGAGAGATTGGGAATTCGCTAAGTGTAAGGCGGATATACTATCGCATCCGATGTACGATCAGCTGTTATCGGCGCATGTATCGTGCTTGAGAATTGCTACGCCGGTGGATCAGTTACCGAGGATCGATGCGCAGTTAGCTCAATCTCAACAGGTTATAGCTAAGTACTCTGTTTTTGGCAATCACAATCAGCCTCTTGATGATAAGGACCTCAATCAATTCATGGTAACTATTTTCACTTTTTAAACATCTCTATATAACTCTCACTCTTTGTTGTTAGGCTACCTCATCCCAGAATTAGAGGCTCCACAAATCCGGTACTTAGGGGATTTCTATATTTGTGCATAGTTCTCTCTCTCTTCCTATTTACTTGTATATCCACTTGATGTTGGTTGTCAATCCTCATGTCTGGGTGGATACAGTCGGCACAATTCTGGCCCCATAAGTTCATTGTTATCAATACGATGCTTATCTCAAAGTAGACTGAACAAAAATCTACTTATGGAGGCTCAATCTCCCGATATTCATACCAGGGATGGGAGATTCAGCTAAAGACAATTTCAGAGCGTATATACATATATGTCAGCTATGTATGTACGACATTATTTGATCTATTATGCCTGCTTTTCGATCAATTCGTCCCTTTCACTTTTTCTGTGATTGATTGGGAGGAGTACAAGAAACTGGTAGATGCATAGTTCCCAATGTTTCTTGTGACCTACCTTGTGAAGATATTTTTCCCCATAGTGTGTTTTAGAGGAGACGTATAGATACGGAAATGTTGAAATATTATTTGTTGGTTCCACCAAGAGATATATGCGGATTCTTGTTTAGGTATTCATGGCGCACCTTGATTTTTGATGTGAATCAGAATGTTCCAAGAATTGGGAATTATCTTTCAGTACATTTAATAATAAAAAATTCTGACAGTGTTTGCAGAATCTGTTTCCATTATGGTCTATTCTGTTTGCTGGGGATGTTCCAGTAAAACACAATGACACAATTTGGGATTTAATATTATTTAAACAGTTTCACTCTTTCACGCATAATTTCAATATTGAAGTTTCTTAATCATCCATACAAGAAGATGAACTGAACAAGGAACATCTATTTCACATCACTATGATTTTCATGTTCCATCATGTTTAATATCCATTTTGATGTGTTGTTACTTGTTATTATCTTTACATGAGATATTGCAGTTTGTATGATGCTATAATTGGATCATCAAAACCATAAGAATAAGCTTTACACGTTTCCTCTTGAGTAATTATTACCTCTGAAGATATAATCATTAGTTCTTCAGAAAGGGTAAAGTCTGTGAGGGGTGAAAGGGTTCTGTTGCTTTAAGGATTGACATTACATTTGTTGTGAATCTTTTTTCTTTTACTTTATGGGCCAAAGTGGCCCCCAAGGGGCAAGGTTAATTAACCATGAACTTTAATCAGGGTACTCTTAGTGATATGCATATCATTCACTTAATATGTCTGATTGATGTGATGCTATTATTCCAAAATAGTAATTATTGGTGTAGTCCCCTCCAAAGCTTTTTCCACTAAGAATGAGGGGAATTTGAAATTCTTTTTTCTTTCTCCTTTCCTCTTGTTTGGGAATGCATATTTCTCTTTACTTTTTTAAATATTTTTGTTTATAACTTCATTTCAAGAATCTCCCATATAATCTTTTATATTTTTTTATCATATATTCAATCTTTATCTTTTTTTCATGTGTAGGCACACTATGTCGTACTCCTCTCTTCATTTAAAGAACAATTACAACAACATGTTCGTGTCCATGCAATGGAAGCAGTCATGGCTTGTTGGGAGCTGGAACAATCTCTACAAAGTTTGACAGGTAATCACTCCTTTTTTCTTTTTCTAATTTTTCTAGGGGCATTTATGTCTTTTTCACAAATAAAAGATTAAAAGCGAGTCCCTAACTCTAACTCCCTATCCTACCGCGTTCCACCTTTTTGATGTGACAAAAAGTTGCAATTTTTGTCCTATTGACATCAGTCTCAGTAACAATAATAGTCTGTTCTGCTCAGTATTGTTCTGTTTTGTCCTGTCCAGTGTAACAGTCTGTATGTACATACAGGGGTAGCACCTGGTGAGGGTACAGGGGCAACAATGTCTGATGATGATGAAGAACAAGTAGACAGTGACACCAATATGTTTGATGGAGGTCTAGATGTTTCCGACAGCATGGGATTTGGTCTTCCTACTGAAAGTGAACGTTCTTTAATGGAACGTGTTAGGCAAGAGCTAAAACATGAGTTGAAACAGGTAAAAAATGCGAGAAATAACAAAATACATTCATTTTATTTTTCTTATTAACTTTGAAAAATCTACCGGATGTTGCATTTAAATTGTAAAAGAATGGAATGGTTGTTGTCTTTTAGGGGTATAAGGAGAAAATTGTGGACATCAGAGAGGAAATTCTACGTAAAAGAAGAGCTGGAAAATTGCCTGGAGACACCACGTCCCTCCTCAAAGCCTGGTGGCAATCCCATTCCAAGTGGCCTTACCCTACGGTAACCATCAACATTTTGCTTTAGGGGAATCGGAATCTTGAATTCCATTCCATTCCATTTCCATTTAATGTTATTATATGTTAAATACAGGAGGAAGACAAAGCAAGATTGGTACAAGAAACAGGACTACAGCTAAAGCAGATTAACAACTGGTTTATCAACCAAAGAAAAAGGAACTGGCACAGTAATCCTTCTTCCTCCACAGCTGTCAAAACTAAACGCAAGAGGTGAGAGCTTCACCTCAGCTTCTAAATATATATATCTATTTTTTGTTTTTACCATGTAAGAAAAGCTTATATATATTTTTTTATTTTGTGAAAAGTAATGCCAGGTGAAAACAGGAAATGGTGTGTTGTGTTAGAAAAGGACAATCATACCCCTGGTCACAGGGGTAAGAGACAAATCCATTGAAGTGACGTGGTACAGAAAGTAAATGAGGCGAGGCGTGCCAATGATTTCTAAAGCTTCATATACATAAACAAAACAGTTATCCTTTTAAAGGTAATCAATCGTTAATCAATCCGACCAACGATACTCACAACACCTATTATTTAATTTAGTAATTTATAATTGTGGACGTGTAATATTTGTTGTACCAATTATTAATTAGTTTTCATTTTCATTGGGTGGGGTTTTTGGTCAGTTATAGTTGTCGACAGGTTTTGTATGTAATAATAATAGTAAAGAACATGTTAAAACTGGATTATTTTTTTTTTCTGTGTGTGGGATAGATCTTTTCACTGCCAAATAGATAATAATATCAAAACAAATAAATAATCAGAATTAAACAAATAGTCAAAGCAACATAACAAACATTTTGGTAAAACCAAGGTCTTGGTTTAATAAAAAAAAATTGGTGGGGTTTTCTTGATGATCCATTAAGATCGTGATCGTGTTACCACTTTCCTTGTAAAACTTTTTTGTTCCTGATGCTTGGGAATTCGTAAATATTTTCGCAGAAGAATCCTAACAAACACACAATTTCTTATTCACAAGAACTGAAGAAAGTAAACAAGAACATGGTTTGTAATTGAGTCTCAAAAGGTCCAGTATATATACTCCATATCAATAGGATGGATACGGCTGACTAAAATAGCAGTTTTGAGGCAAGGTTTTGAAAACCGGACCGGAGACCCAACCATTTCGATCAGGGGTGAGCATAATAACCGAAAAACCGAACCATTTTAAAAACCAATGGTTCGGTTTGTATTTTTTTCCTAACCGATAACTAACGGTTCGGTTATGGTTTTATAGATTAACCGAACCATTATTAACCGAACCGATAACTTTATATTTAAATATATATAAATTATACATTATAAATAAAATAATATAGTTCAACTTATTCAAGTGCAATTAAATTTTAAAAAAAAAATCATTAATGCTCACTTATTAGTAGACATGATTGAGGAACCAAACCATCTACGGTTGCACACACACGGACACATGCAATTAGCAATCACGCATTGTACTAAGACAATTGATTAATTTGGTAATTCTAAATTCTACAATTTGTAAACGTTTAGCATAGTTGATTGGAGGTCGCATTCAAACACAAAAGTTATATGTTATATTTTATTATTATAAGATTTCAAAAGCTTAAAAAAGAATTGTTGGTTCAATATTTTTTGTATTCTTTTTTCATTTTTATACCAATATACTTCCATTTTGTATCATTTTTGAACATTATGGTTAACCAACATTAACCATTAACCAAAACCATTAACCGAAAAAACCATTAACCATAACCAATACTCCATAACCAATGGATACCAAAACACATTAACCAATAGTAATGGTTATTGTTCGGTTTTGTTCGATAACCGAACCAAACCGCCTCATACACACCCCTAGTTTCGATGGTTCAATTGGTCCAACCGGTTGGACCGATCTAAATATCAGATGATTACATTATCATTAATTTTAATGATATAAAAATACAAAAAATGAAAAAAAAAATTAATTCTCAGTTTTTACTTGTTCACATGACGAACAGTTTTTTGGCCTCTAAGAATCGGATCCGGGATCATTTACTGGTTGAACCGCCAAGTTTTCAAAACATGGTTCAAAGGTTAATTATGGTTAAGAGTGACCATCTTTTCATCGTCACACATATTATAGAGTAAATTACACAAATAGTCCATGTGGTTTGGAGTAATTTGTTTTATCCAAATCAAGAAGTTATTATACATGTCTGCATTTTCTACCATTGAATTTGCATTAGATCATGCTTTGATCCCTTTTGACACCCACATAAACTTCAATTACACTAAAATAACATGTGATTAAAATTAGACACATCCCCCTTATAGTGTCACACACACAAACACATGAGAGAGATGGTTAACGGTTTTACACCATATTAATTTGAAATTTTCATCATCTTTCAATTTTTTCTAATAATGATATTCGTGTCAATTACAAACTTAACAACTAAGTCCTTAGCCAAACTCTGTGGGAGGTGGTATGATATATTGGGTTGTGTCCTAACAAATGTGGGAGGTGGTATGATATATTGGGTTGTGTCCTAACAAATTCAATGAATATTGCACATGATTAATTTCCTAATGATGCTATGTCTAATGTCTAAATATTTAGATTTATTATTATATACTTGGTTATGTACCTTGGCTAAAGTAGTTGTGCGAATGGAATCTCAAACACTAAATCCTTTCATATATATATATTTTTCATTTTGTTCGTAACAGTTAACACAACAAACTCAAATTTCATTGTTGAATTGGTGATACAAGTTTTTGTCTTGGACCACCACTACCATTGTAACAAGCTATGCCCCTTGACCCCGTCCTTTGTAGTGTCTGCGACTTAGATAGTGTTTGTTTTTTGTCTGCAGATCTGCGTGGCCTCTTCTGTCTGCGCCGCGCAGACCACGCGCAGACATTAGCTTTCGCAGACTGTTTGTTTTTTTGAAGACTGCAGACCTAAAAATGTCTGCGCGCCCTCTTCTTGGCGCAGATGTGGACCAGAGTCTTCAGACATCTTCTAGCCTAAAAAAACATATATATCTTTATTTTTTTTAAGTTTTTTTTTTAATTTATATTTTTTCCAACTTTATTAATGATAAACAATTTGAAAAAAAAATTACAAAAATTAAAAAAAAAAAAACGTTCGACGATATAAACATGATATTTTTAACAAATTTATAAATAAAGATTTATTACAATAATAGTCGTTGTAGTTGTTTATATAAATATGAAAAAAAATCATAATATATTCTTATATTTTTTTGCCAACTTTTGTAAAACATTATTTAATACAGTATCATCAATTTCTCGAGAAAATATTTATGGTACGTTTTTAATGGATTTAATTGAAAAAATTGAAGTTTATTTCCATCCATTTATGTATGAAATTCTTTTATCACTAATTATAATGTTTAGTTATAACTTTGCAACCAAAGTTGTTGATTTTTATCAAATATATATGTTAATTCATACCATTTTTATTTTTATTTTTTATACAATAATACATAAAAGTTGATCTAGATTCATTAATTATTTATAACAAAGTCATAAAAATATTAAAAAATCACTTTGAAGTTTAAAAAAATAAGTTTATTTAGATTTCAGTTTATTTTAGTAGCCCGCAGATGTTAAAAAACAAACAGTCTTCTTTTTTCAGACTGCATACGTTTGGTCCACATCTTCTACTGCAGAGGTCTACAGATGTGGTCCGCATACTGCAGACATTTTGTCTCAAAAAAAACAAACAGCACCTTATACACTTCATGCAACCGAACTTGAATTATATCACATATTGATCCATTTTGGCACTCATATAAATCCAATCACACTAAAATGAAATGTGACACTAAAACCGATGACACAAACAACTACAACAACGATAAATATATCACAACACGCTTACTTCCCATCCATGTTCATCACTCATGACTCATATTGTAACATTACAAACCAAAGCACTAAACGCTACAAATAAGCTTTATATATATTTTAAATCATGACGAAAATTATTAATAGCCAAAATTCTAAGGCTTGCAAATACAACCTACTCAAACCTCTCAGTTTTCAAATTAAGGCCCACATGAATACATGGTTGCCTAATGTGGTTCAGAACTCCAGATCCACTTACAGCCCAAGAAAACTACTGATTACAGTTTTATATTTAAGAAATATTTGTTTTTTTTTTCTTTTACTAAACAAAACCTTCTCTTGTCATGAACTTCAATTTTCATTTTTGTTGCATCAAAAACTTCTTTTGATTTTCAAAATTTTAAAACGTAAATTTGGATTGAAGTTGTCAATCTTTTCCAAGTCACGTCCAACTACTACAAAATCCATAAAAAAAAAATCCAAAAAGGGAATTCAAATTTAGCTTCATTTATTATCTTTTTAAATCGGCTAAACTAACATAAACTAACAAAAAAAAAGGCATAAATATATGATCAATCAAAATTCAAAATTGCTTCGAGGGTCTATAATTCCCTCAATACTTCCAATATATGTACATTATTGCACCTTTTGAACAACGATCAAGATCTTACCAAAATGAAGCATTTTCGTATAGAAGATATCAAATAAAATTTACGTATTCTAGAAAAATATTTCATAAATAATGTACCGAAAGTAAGTTATAAATTCGTTGATTTTTTTCATCTTTCCTTTAGAATAACGCCGAAAATGATACCAACCCATGAAGTGATACACGATCTGTTGGACAGTAGACTAATTCTCATGATTTCTTTTCCATTATGCATGTTGCCACGTTTCCCTTTTCTTAGAAATATTATGCTAACTATTTCCTTCCAGTAACTTTGCACGTTTTCAATTCCTAGTTAGTTGCAATCTTTTCTTTAAATGCCTTGTAATTTGCATTGGATAATATAGCAGAAAATTGTCTCAATTATCAGTTGTTTTGTTTATTTATCTCGTATCTTCTATCTCTCGTATCTATTTCTACAGGGGACTCGCCATCCATAATTTGGCTGTATCAATTGGTGCTTTCATCATCGTCTCAATGCCTCCAAAAACTGAGTCCGGCTCCACCTCCGACAACCCCAAGGCCACCCCCGACAACCCCAATGTCGTCGTCAATGATCAATTGCAGATTTTGATCCACCTTGCCACCGCCACCAACCACCGCCTAGACACCATCACCACTCATCTTGTTGCACAATCCGACACCATGAACAACATTGTCAAACTCCTCGCTGCCAACAACAACCGGCCGCCGCCACCGCCGCCTAATACTCACCCACGCCCACCAAAAATATATCTCCCCAACTTTGACGGATCAAACCCGCTTGATTGGGTGTTCCAAGCGGAAAATTACTTTACCTATTATGCTATCCCACCAAACCAACGACTTGCCCTTTCCGTGTTTTACTTTACTGGTGATGCACTCAGTTGGTACAAACATATGTCCAACAACAACCTCCTTGGCACATGGGCTGAATTTACGCGTGCACTTGAAACCCGCTTCGGTCCAACTACCTACGAGAACCACCAAGCTACACTTTTCAAGCTCCAGCAAGTCTCCACAGTTGCCGCCTACCAATCGGAATTTGAGAAGATTAGTAATTGTGTCGTTGGTTTATCTCCACAAGCATTACGTGATTGTTTCTTCTCCGGGCTTCGCCCCGATATTCAGGCTGAACTTGCCCTTCATGGCCCCCAAACTCTCCACCAAACTTACGGCCTCGCGAAGCTAAT